TCCGGTTTATCAATGGGCTTTGATAGAACACATTGGACTTTATAATTATTAAAGACAACATAATGTAAGAGCATTTTTAAATAATGAATCTATTTTATAGCGAAAATTCATTCAATACTTGTGATCACTTTTCTTATAAACATTCAAAACAATGTGGCATAATTTTCATATTCTGGTTTAATTGATTTCATTTTAGGTGATCTGTTTCATTCCTGTTAATTATGTGATAATTTTTTGTGTTTTTGTTTAGTTTGTTTGTTTTCCTCTCTCGAAAATTTACTTCATTTAACTCTGTTTTACATTCAAGTAAATATTAATGGATATATTAGAAGATTATTAAGCGATATCTTTAACTTTTTCCCCCATTCTCCTACTTATTTCCCATGTATTTTCGAAATAAACTACAAATGCTCATTCGATTTATATTTATAAGTTTTTATTTGTCTCTTTGTTCATAGTGAATTATTTTTTGCTATGTATTTTTGTCTTTACGTGTGGTTTTGTTTGCTAAATAAATTACCACTGTCTATATTGATTTTATGCCGTGGAACATGTATTGTTCATTGCATTGTCAAGTTATCTGTGCATTTTGTAATATACACTTTTTTGAGTTATATATATGTGTACCCATGGTGGTAGTATTGCTGTGTTTTCATGTCTGTTTGTTGTCCTTGAAATCACCTTTGACCTGAATATTGAACTTAATTTCTTTATGGGGAAGTTCAATAGTTACCCAATACGTAAATTCTTATCTAGATTTTATTTGAAACAAAATTAAAGTTTTTGTTTTAATATAGTTGGAAATGTTTAAGTATATATCGATTTTCAGTATGGTGACCGTGGAGGTTGTTGAATTTTATTGAGCACATGAAGTACTTCAAGTTAGACAACTATTCTAAAAGTGAAAGCACTAGTAAACTGTTTCGTTCTAGCATGGGACTCTCCAGCAGTGCGCATCCACGACTTCACTATCTGGGATTAGACTCATGATCTTAGGTCTCACACTTGAACGCTCAACATCTAGATTACTGAGTCTTCACCTGACGATGTACAAGTTTAGCTTCAGTCAATCCTCAATACTGTCCGATCGTCTCCCATTATCTTCAGTGGATATGTTCCTCACAACACCTGACACGATTCCCTCTCAAAGATGGTTACTATTAATCATCATATGATCAATAGTGACTAGCTTCTATAGGAAATTTCGAGAGTGCCAGTGAGAAACTGTGAACATTGGAGCTGAATCGTCTCAGGTGTTGTGAAGAATATATCCACTGAAGATAATGGGAGATGGTCGGACAGTATTGAGGATTGACTGAAGCTAAACTTGTATACTGTGAGGCGAAGACTCAGTGATCTAGTTGTTGAGCGTTCGATCACGAGACCGAAGACCGTGGGTTCGATCCCTAGTGGTGGTGTCGTGGATGGATATTGCTGAGATATTGATTTATCGAGTGAATCGGTGTTATTGTCTAATAATTGTATTCTATTTCATTAGTCGTTCGAATAATAACTATTTTAGACCTACTTGCTATTGTTTGTTCACGTATCACATATGAATGCACACTTATTGAGAGAACAATTAGATATTTTTTGACATAGGCTTAATTATTTCGAATAAGTCAACTTGACATACGGGTAGAATGACTTAATCATCTACCTACAGAATTGCATCTGCATTATAATTTATCATTTTCATTGTAATCAGTATACTTTAAATAATATGTAACATCTTTGACTTCATAATGTTATTCTTTTTAAGGTTATTATATTTTCTCTACCTTTGGGTTTGTCAATGTTGTAATATACCAATTCCGTTGTATGACAGAAAGTTCAGTTAAAATTCGTGTTCATTCGTATTACTTTAATTTATTATATATCTTCAGTAATTGCAAATAAAGGTCTCTTGGGCCAAATCGGAGTAAATTTATTTTTTATAGGTCGAATTTATGAATAAAAAACTGATTTTTACACATGAGACAGTTAATATATGGTAGAGTTGAGTGCACTTTACTACTTGAAATTCACTAGTGTCGAAACATGGCAAAGAACGTTCTCGATTAAATCATGAATATTCAAGAACCTACTTGGTACTTCTCATGAATTCTGAAGCTGTTAATCAAATCTACTCGTCTACATTTCTCCATAGAGTATTGTAAGAATTACTAGCTTCCTAGACCAGGATTGTTGTGCCTGGTTCTATGCAAGTTTTATGCTTCCAGGAATTCATACTTGATTTGTTATATTTCTAAAATAAGGATGATTTCCGAAGGATTAAATGTCTGTTCCTATTTCGTTTTGATGAGTCCTTGTGTGATTTCCACATTCATAATTAGTATGGTTGAATATATCGTTTATATTTGTTCATTGTATTGTAGGAAGTTGGACTATCATTCATGTTATTATTTTGGCTTACCTGTGAGACTTGCATCTTCCATTTTCACCAGTTTCTAATTTGGAAAATTTACAGTTAAAGTAATTCATATAGAGAGATGATTTAAAATGGATTTGCTTCACTAATGACAAGGAGTTACGGATTTTGTAATTAGAAGTTTCTGCATATTCAATTATGTGACTGGATGTAAAGGATAGTTTATTGCGCATTTCGGAGAAAAAGATTAAATTAAGTTTGAGTCTCCTCTTCCATAAAGGGTCGAGCTCAAGTTTATTACATCTAGAATTATAATTCAAGGTACAATCATTCCCAAGAATCTGACGTGTAAATTGTCGCTGTATTGATTCCAACCTTTATTTATTATTTATGCGCAAACTACTAAGAATAAACGTGCAGTATTCTAGGAGTAGTCGAATACATACTTTGTACATCAAAATATATGACTCGTTGTTATGAAGGTTTCGAGTTATACAACCTATAAGATATTAAAACTTGGAGATCTGTTTCAATACTTGTACTGTATATGACAAATCGTAGGAGTACTCAAGTTTCCCCTGTTTTCTCCATGTCTAGTTAATACAATAAACTTTTCGAGTATATGAAACTTACAAAAAGTTTTATTTATAAACTTTATGTACACAAAATTTTAGAATTAGCAAAACATAAACAACACTGTCTTTTACTCAATCGTCTGAATGTCTCAGCATTTATACAACAAGAACTGCTACTACTACCTGTTCAAAAACATGAACGGTACAATTTTTCTATATTAATATAAAAACAACATACTTGTCTAAACTTATTTTATACTATAACCGTTCGATAATTTTAGATTTGTTTATTTCTTTTATTCAGTTGATAGTGTATTACTGATTGTTAGAAAATAAATGTGCTCATAATGGTTTAATCATTAGTTAAGACATTAATTGAATAACAATAATGTACATATCTGTCGATATTAGTCTGCCGTGGGTAATTTTGAATTCTTTTCTTGGGCATATTAAGTAACATGATATCACTGATAAACAGTTAAATGCTTATACTACTTAATTGTAAATAAATGCTTTTATAGCGTTGTATGAGAATCAACTTAGAATGTAGTCAAACATTTAAACTGTAGTTATTAATTGATATCAGTTACATGTTAATTGTATATCAGTTGTATACATTTGTCGGTGCTCTTTCTGAGTAAATAAATTGAATAACATTCCACATCATTAGTTACTATGTGTAAATTAACATTGGTTATCGTAACATGATTTTAAAGCTTTCTAAAATAAACTTTAAGTGTTTATGTTAACAAATATAGTCTTCCTATATCCAGTTAATATTAACAGTATCAATGCTTGAGTGGATATCTACCTTCACTTATAGGTTAAAGTTCATCGTGTATTCAAACGAGTATACGATACAATGTGAATGGATGTTTCCTAATTCGATGAACCAATAACTAGTAAGATTTAGAAATGATATACAAGAAGAAAAAAATGTTTACAAAACTTAAAATAGGTTGAGTTTAAAAAAAAGGTTGTTGAGGCAAAACGAATACTAATCCTTTCAATAATAAATGATGCATAAATGAAAACCTGAAATTTGGCCACACGATATAATTATGTTTACAAGTTGAAGAAATGGTAGATTTCCAGCGAAACGTAAACAATATTTTCTTACATTTATTCTCATTTTTTGTGGCGTCACAATAACAAATTAGTTAGTTACTTTAATCGAAAATGTTTGTATATTCATGTAGTAGAAGTAATTTGTGTAAAAATACCCTTTATAATGACTCTAACCACGTTGTTATTTGTAGGTCGATTTTGAAATATAATTAACATATTCGTCCGTTAGCTACGTAATAGTTTACGTTAGGCGTAAAAGTAAATTCAGGCCACTGGAAAATGCACAAAGAGTGCATTGTACTTGATCAATACTGTTCACTTATAAGAGACAATATTAAGTATATTTAGTGACAGTAAACGTCGTGTTATGCTGTGCTAACTGTCATAAAAATGTTTCCTCTATTAAATTCACATATGAAAAAAATGTTCCACACGAAAACGTTGTTACTGAAATATGATTTAAGTAGTACTGTGATTCTACACTATTGGAAGGCTACATTTTATGTAGTGTAAATTAATTTACTGTAAACAAAAGAAAATTCACCCAATAAAATCAAATGGATTCTTTTTAGTCTGGAAATCTTGTTGTTATAACTTTGTTCTAAATTATCAAGAGGAAAGGAATCCGCATTATCACTTAAACACAAAAATATACTTTCGAATATGGAAAGTCAAATGTTAGGTGACATGAGGTATCTATTACACTCCAGAACTTCGTTTTCCTGGCAATAAGTTTTAATAAACAAAATAAATGGAATTCACTACACGAAGGAAACCTTAATTTAGCAAGCTATTATATCTACAAATCATATAAAAGCCAACAATGCTCCCTTATATGAACGTTTGAAATTTGATTTAAACCTAAGATCGGGTGATTGAGAAATAATTTCCTAGATCTTTGAGTTATGAAATTGTTCTTTTCAGATTGGTTTAAATCATTCAAGTTCGTTGTTTTAATAAGATCAATGTTCAAAAGAGACTCAGGATTATTCACTATCCACATTTATTTTCAATAATTTTTCTCAACGATGTGTAATAAAAGCACTTGAGTCAACATCTACTCATTAAAAATATCGGACATTTCGATTCATCAACAATCTCTCACTCCCTTCCAAAAACTAAATGAATCACAATGTAAACCGTTGAATTTCTTCAAAATGTTTATTAAATGTGTGTAAAGGTATAAAAGGAAAAAAAGTGAAATCTGATTTATTAACGCGTAAAAAAATTGTGCAATCATTTATGAAAATATGTAATGTATGTAACTGTGCACGTATGTATTCGTGTGTGCCTCTTTGTGTGTATTTGTTTAAAAGAAAACATATTTTTTCGTTTAATAACTTTCTGATTTCGTAAACCCCAAAAAAAATACGAAGCTAACCAAACCACAGTGACCAAGATGCAAAAAAGAAACAGCGAAAAAACACCGAAACCTATGAAAAGAAATCAATAACGTATTCATTTGTAATTGAAATTATAATTCATCGTAAATGGAACAACTAATTTCTCCTCCTCATACAAATGTAAAGCGAGGTGTCAATAGGGCGTTTGATAAAGGTGATCCAAAGGAATGAATAAAATGAAGAAGTGATTCATTGTCTAGTCTCTCCTGTTAATTACAAGTCAACTAAAACATTAATCAGTTAAATGAAATTTTAGACAAAAGATATCTAAAATTATTGTAAAAAAAGTTGATACTTGAGGGAAAAAATGCATATCACTCTATCATCAACTTTGTATGCTTACAGACTTTTGCTTTAGACATAATGAGCTAAGGAACAACAGACAATAACAATATCAATCAATAATCTGTTGTCAATATGATGGCAAACAATAGACATGATTAACTAATAAGTGGATTATAGGATTTGTTAATTACAAAGATATGTAATAAAACTCAAGGTATCAATAGTTTATAAGGAAAAGAAAATGTAAATCAATATCACATAGTAGATTATACAGAATTGAAACACAATTAAGTTAATTAAATTCAATAGATTGTCTAAGAATGCATTATTTTTATCACCGAAATTGTGGTAAAAGTAAAAGCTGAAAAATATTTTGTTCACTGGAACAATAGAATAGGAAAACAAATCTATTATAATGATTGGACAGTAATGCGATATTCTTTTGCCAAATAAACGCAACATTAACTGGATATATATATATATATGATAAAAGTTGGAAACAGACAAAGAAACCATTTGCCTTCTGAACAAATAATTAAAACTAAAGATTAGTGATAATAATATACAGTATTAACAAGTAGTTATAGACAATTGAATATTTAAAGTGAGAATAGATATCAATGATGGGATTTTCAAATGTTGATGTGTAGAAAATTTCTCATTTCATTGTTTGAATTATTTTTGTTTTCTACAAATAATTTATCAAGATTGGCTTGTTATAGCAGTAGAATCCTTGAGCAAATTTTCAGCATGATTGCCTATAATAGGTGGATGAAAACAAAAGAAAAAAAAATTTAATTGAATTCTTTCGGAAATCGATAGAGAATAATTTTAGGCTGGAAAATATCATTGATAATTGCTATGTTTGAAGCGATTACAAGTTCACTTAGTCTGCGAACGGAACAAAGACTCTGTGACCAAAGATCAATAAGCTAGATATTCTGATGCGTTCCAGCCCCGCTAACTAGACAGAGACGTCGAAGTTCGAACGGGGAAATATATTCCGCAAACAGGCAGAAGCACGAGTGATCCCGAGGAGTCTATTCGGAAATACACTCATTTATATATTGGTTTATACACACACTTTTGATTAATAATCAGAATAAATAACATACATGAATAATATTTCACACAAGAATATCATATGTTATACAGAAATAAAATGTCATAGGGGAAGACGAAACAGATACAATACAGGGTGATCATCAAACTGAATTAAACAGAATTAATGTTGAATAAAAATCATAATGAATAAATCAATCAAATTTTGACCTTTCTTCTCGTCATAACAATAATTCCTTTAAAATATACGTTTGTTTTTATGTGACCATGTTTGATGGAGATCAGCAAGGAAAGATAAGTATATATATGTACTCTACAATAAGGGTGTGTACCAACGGACATGTGCTAAAAGGGATACATATCAACAGCTAGTATGAAAAAAAACATTTTATTTGTGCACTTAATAATCTTGTTTACGCTGACTCTGTTCTGGACTGAACGGGCTGGGCTAGGCGAGAAGTTGGTATATAGAGGACCAATAAGGACTCAGGATTAAATTTAGGGTGCTCATGCTGGTTAATGCATCATTGGTTTGGCACAGGGACAAGACCAAATGAGTAAGTGTTCTGATTAGCGATTTTGTCACTTGATATTCGACAGGTCATAGGACATAACAAACAATCTACACAAACCCAAGGTACCAACAAAAAAATCACCCAAACGGTTGTTTATTTCAAGGTTAACCATATGAATACTATATAAGCAATAAATAGGAAATTATGCTAAAAGTCATGTGAAAAAAGATTACATATTAATCACTGAAAACTTAGGTCACCATGATGAAACAAGGTCGATAACTGATTTTTTTTGAATACATGAATTTGATTAAAATCTTTTAAAAACAATGGCTTCAGAAAAGTTCAATAAAGTGTTAATCTTTTATATTTCCGGTTACTCTAAGAGATTTTTGACGCGTTAATATCACTTCCACTGTCAAACAATTGACATAAAATGTTTATAAAAGTTTAAAAGATGTCAAATTAACTTGTGAATAATTTTGATGGAGTTTTGTTCTCTGAGCTGGATGGTTTGATCATGGAGCTTTCATCATTCTTCTCGACGACATCATCAGCACAAACTTTAGGTAGAAGTGAAGTGTTCGAATTTCTCCACATATGGCTCACAGCTCATCCTGTAGACCTCGATGTTGATTGGTTCTTGTTGACCTTAAATATGCCATTGTGTACTTCTTTATTTTGGTTGTATCTCCCATTAGTTTGATGAATAATTAATATAAGAACTAGTAATGTTCTGTTAATATCAAATGAATCACTTTTAAGGTAACTCTGATTTATACACAAATCAGTCTCGTATACAAAACTTACGATGAAAGACCTTGAGAATAGTTTCACATACAAATTGAAATTGACCCTAAATTCAAAAAACAAAGAAAGAAAGAAAATTATACAAGCTTATCTGTATTGAGTTGATTCCAAAAGAAAAGTTCATTGAATCAGTTCAAGTGATGTAGTCCAAATTTAAATTTCACAGATTGAAATCATGAGTTAATTGAAGCTAGACCACCATGGAAAAGCTGGGACCACTGGACGGCCTTCTCGTCCTAGTATGGGACTCCTGAGCAGTGTGCATCCACGATCCCGCATCCTGCGAGATTCGAACTCAGGACCTACCAGTCTCGCGCCAGACACTTAACCAACTAGACCACTGAGCCGGCATCCAATGGTGTTAATGTCTAACTTCAACCAATCCACGAAGTTGCGCCACCGTACACCATTGTCTTCAGTGAGCTGATAACTCACAACAGACCTGGTTGAACTCCACTGGTAACGGCTTTTCACTAGAGCTCCAGGAGTATCTCTTGAAGTCAGTCACTAGTGAGTAGATGATTATTATAAGAAGGGGTTTGTGGAGATTTTAGAAATTTCACAGATTGCTGAGGAGTCTCATACTAGGACGAAACGGCCGTCCAGTACTTTCAGGTTTTCCATGGTAGTCTAGCTTCAACTGACTCATGATTTCAGTCTGTGAAATTTCTAATATCTCCACAGACCCTTTCTGACAAATTAAAATTGTTTAAAATGATCTTTATAGTTTTCCTTAAAAATCGATAAATTAAGTTTATATGAATTTTCAATTATGTAATGTTGTTTAACTGTAAACATTTAAGTCAAAAAATATTTGTGGTGTATATTTTAAAAGTAATTTTTTATCATGAATTGACATCGATAAATAGAGGGGATAAAATGACATTAGTTAGCATGGAATAATTGTTTAGTTCTAATCTGAGCAGTTACCAACATCAAAACAACATCAAGTTAAGACTTTTAATGTATTTATCTTTAGATTAGTAAGCTGAAGTTAAAACTATCATTTAAACCGTTGATCAATATCCAGAAAATTTTACACTGACATGAGTTCATAAAGAAAGTTGACTTATAAAATTCTGAACAAGTATTTAAACAACTATCTTTTCAAGTTATATTCAGTTATGTTTTGTAATTTGACGATTTTTAACCTATTACTAATAGGAGATTTTATCGAAAGATCCGCGGTATCAAACTTGAAAACATGAGCTGATGATTACTTTCTATTGAAGCAGGTCATTACATTCCTGAATCTGATTAGATTTCTAAACTAGAGTCTTGTAATGAAAGTTTTTGGCTTCCAGTAGACAACAAATACACCGTGAAGACGGAGTTTATCTGCAAAAATGTGATGTATTTGCGCTATACATTTCGAACAATGTGGTCACACATATACTTGTCAAGGCATTTTTATATGAAAATTTATAAAAGTCAATTAAATGAAAGTTCAAGTAAAATAACAAAGGGGAGAGAAATAATAAGAAATTGTCGCATTATCCTAGGCTATACAATATAGCCTAGGATAACGCGACAATTTCTTATTATGACTTAAGGATTACCAAGGTAAATTCATTTAATTGACCTTAATTAATTTTCATATAAAAATGCCTTGACAAGTATATATGTGACCAGATTGTTCGAAATGTATAGCGCAAATACATCACATTTTTCAGATAAACTCTGTCTTTTCACTGTTCTATCGAAATTTATAAAAGGGACTAATTGCTTTAAATAAATACACCGTTGTTTGTTATTTAAAACAGGTAGTACTTTAATTTCAACACTTATATTGAATTTATGAAACAGATATATAAGAGGAAATAGATCAGGCATAGGTTATTTTAGAGAAACCTATTTATTTACATTAATTAAACGTAACGATGTCTGAAAGATTTTAAAAATTTTAAAATTTTTAGTTCACTTTCACAAACTTAACAAAACTCTAAGAGTATAAAACTTCAAAAGTGTTGATTATTATAATTATAATTAATGGCTTTATTTAATATTATATTTCGGTACAATATAGACTTTTCAGCACAAAATATTTGAACAAGTTTCCTTTTCTTATTTCTTGATCGATCCTGATGATCAATATTAAGTGATCGGCAGTTAGATGTTAGCGGTTCAGGAGTCGACATCTGAATAATCTTTATTCTTTTGATTGCAGATTGACAGCCACCAATATGTCTCCGATGATTGTACTTTTTTGTAAGTTATGCAGAGAAAAGTAATAAACGTTTCATAATAGCGCCTGAATAGGTTATGAGATGAATATACATAATAATGTGTTAAAACAAACAAACGAAAACAGATAACTTGTTGAAATATCTTGATGGTAGGAATGGGTAGCCCAGAAATTAAAACAGCCAGCCGGTATTTTAAGTAATTAGTTTCATAAATTAAGTGGTTTGCTTTAAGCGGTTATCAGGTTAGCTAATCAAATTTTATAGGTCAACCACTTTTCTAGCTGAGAAAAAAATATTTTAATTCAATTTATAATAATACCAGTAAAAATGATATATTTTCTTACAGTGGTTTGAATAAGCATAGCTCTGTGTTCACGCATTCGTTGAACTAACTCTAAAGGTTTAACTGGATAATTACATTCCATTAAATTAATTGATGTTTCAATAGCAATTAGTACACCAGTTCGACCAATACCGGCAGAACAATGTACAACTATAGGTGTTTGATTTTTGCCACGAATTCGTTGAACTTGTTCTACAAATGATATAAGTTGATCAGTATCATTTGGTACACCATGATCTGGCCAACTAATATATTGAAGTTGTGAAATACGACGTGTTTCTGTTTGTTTCCTTAACACTGATTGCAAAGAGGCACGATGTGAAGGAATTTGACTAATATCGAATTCCCGATATGCAATATCAGTAATGATCTAATTTGAAGTGAATAACAAAAAATATATGTATGAGTACAGATTGCAACATGAGGCGCTTGAATAAAATTAGAATGTAAAATAAATGATAAATAAAACTCCTTATTAAAGTAGAATTTTCATAGTTTTTAAATCACAAACTGGTCTTAGCTAGACCACCATTGAAAACCAAGAAGCACTAGGCAGCTGTCTCATTCACAACACGGCCCCAGCAAATCGAACGCATAATCTTTGGTCGATGTTCACAGGGGTTCAGACCCGTCAGAAAAGCCAGTGGTTATATGGACTCGGTAACTAAATGGATAACGCGTTGGATGACTGAAGCGAAAGGTACTGGATTCAAGTTCCGGTGCAAATATCAACACAGTGACGCAGGCACATCCAGCAAACGAGTCCCAAATAGAACGGAATACTCGTCCTAGATTCCAATGTTAGTCACAATCTATTCCTTTCATTAAGTCAGAATGTAATAGTGAGGTTTCTAATTAAAAAATGGTGTTCAATAAGATTGGTATCATCAGATAAAATCATTTTGATTTTATGGTTATCCAGTGCTTGACATTGAAGATGCATAGCCCTATGATAAGTAGAAGTTGTAATATCTTTCAAAATTATTAATATCGTTATTGCAGTGACACCTGAATATCTCCGACTTGATTCTATATATTGATCATGGGTGGGCATTGTTCATAAGTTCCAAACCGGGGTAAAAAAGCCTAACGCTATTTGGTTTTCAAATGTTTTTCATCCGATACCGTTTTTTGATGAAAATTAACTTCGAATCATATGTCTTAATAATTACGGAATGACTACTAGCATTCTAAAACAATGAGGGGACGATTTCTGATCAACCACATTTGAACAAAAGTTTTCGGCGTTGGGGAATTTAGTTGTCAACTTTACAAGCAGTACATTTTACCAGATATAATACACGTAAGTAATTTTCTATTCGCATGTCTAATGCTACGAATAAGAAAATGTGTTTAACCTTTATGTAATATCCATGTTTCTTAACTACTTTATATTGATGAAATTGATTCGTAGAACGTTCAAAATCAAAAGACTAATCTTCTGTAAAACTGGAATTCTTACACTGACTTATAACTTAGTTGTGACAAATGTTGTATTGTCTGGTTTTTGGTAATGATTGAATCCTATCTAGTAATAATGAAGATATTTCTTGATGACAAGTATCGATTAATACAAAGTCGAAATTTAGGGTTTCATATCAATAACCGATAGCTATCTAATATAGATCGAAGTATATTGTATCATTTAGATTAGTTAATTCATTGTGACTTGAACGATAAATTTCGGTTAGGATATTGGTTACTGACAAGTGATCAGTCAGTGTATCCAGATCTTTAGAATCAATTTAAATTTGATAACTATGTGTATATTTTGTTACTTTATTTCAGGAGGTTGAATTCCTATTTATTGAACAAGTCAATTCTCAGCTCATACACAATATTAAATGATTGAAAAAATACCGTTTAGGGTTCGATACAATTTGATTCTAAAGAAGAATATACTATGAAAATAAAAGGCTGAGTGATGACTTTAAAATCCAGAAAAATCACAAAAATTACCTCCTCTCGTACAGTTTTTAATTGTAGATCTGTTGAACTACGGGACTGTGAAATTCTGGGACTTGAAGAAACGGAAAAGTTTACTGTATGATTGAGATCTGGCCAATACTGATGACACTTTGCCTGTGAAATTGTAAGAAGAAAAAGCTGCACAAATATACAGAGTGGAAATATACAAAATATAGTGAACGTGATTCATTTGTCAAGTCCATGGAATATCAATCAGAATGGGGAAATCAAGAAAGATGTATTCATACTAGAAATTAGGGAAACATATGACAACGCAAAATACCTGGACTAATGCTGCGAAACGTTTAACTTTACTAGGCTTTAGTATGTAGTTTTGTGATATGTATCTTTGAGAAGCGACTTCTTCAGTCTAACATAGGTCAGTAGCTTTAGCCCGGTTCAACACAATACAGCATGTAAAAACTTCTCATTATACAGAAGTTTATTAATCGTTTATGTAATAATAATTGAATACAATCTTAACCATACATCAACATCCTTAAGAAATTTCAATAAGGTCATAACTATACAACAAGTAGAAAACTGGGTAGTAGGTACGTAATAAAGTAACAACAATTTAAGAAAGATATAATACATAACAACAGTTTATGGGTCATGGAATAACTTACAAATAGAAGACGAAAATGCAATACTTTAAGTCATTGGTAAGAAACAACAAAAAAAGAACTATAACTTTATGTAGGACCGGTTTTAAAGTTTAACTTAGTATTTATTCTATTATAGCTTTACCTGAAAATGATCAGTTTTTATAAGTGCAGATAACTGAAAACTTTAACTAACTATAATTTCTGATGAAGATAATTTTATACATTATGAGTAACCTTCTATGTTCATGTTTTAAAATGACTGATAAATACTTGTTCTTTGTTTTCTGTCATAGTCTTTCTCTCTCCCTCTCACTCACTCACTCACTCACTCACTCACTCACTCACTCACTCACTCACTCACTCACTCACTCACTCACTCACTCACTCACTCACTCACTCACTCACTCACTCACTCACTCACTCACTCACTCACTCACTCACTCACTCACTCACTCACTCACTCACTCACTCACTCACTCACTCACTCACTCACTCACTCACTCACTCACTCACTCACTCACTCACTCACTCACTCACTCACTCACTCACTCACTCACTCACTCACTCACTCACTCACTCACTCACTCACTCACTCACTCACTCACTCACTCACTCACTCACTCACTCACTCACTCACTCACTCACTCACTCACTCACTCACTCACTCACTCACTCACTCACTCACTCACTCACTCACTCACTCACTCACTCACTCACTCACTCACTCACTCACTCACTCACTCACTCACTCACTCACTCACTCACTCACTCACTCACTCACTCACTCACTCACTCACTCACTCACTCACTCACTCACTCACTCACTCACTCACTCACTCACTCACTCACTCACTCACTCACTCACTCACTCACTCACTCACTCACTCACTCACTCACTCACTCACTCACTCACTCACTCACTCACTCACTCACTCACTCACTCACTCACTCACTCACTCACTCACTCACTCACTCACTCACTCACTCACTCACTCACTCACTCACTCACTCACTCACTCACTCACTCACTCACTCACTCACTCACTCACTCACTCACTCACTCACTCACTCACTCACTCACTCACTCACTCACTCACTCACTCACTCACTCACTCACTCACTCACTCACTCACTCACTCACTCACTCACTCACTCACTCACTCACTCACTCACTCACTCACTCACTCACTCACTCACTCACTCACTCACTCACACTCACTCACTCACTCACTCACTCACTCACTCACACACACACAATATGTATATATAATCGAAAATTTAGTGAAACAATATTCAAATGGTGAATGAGATAAAAATACATTTTAATATTGATTCAGAATAATTTATGTTACTTGTATTTTTCACCAGAAAATTTTATGATTATCACTACTAGAGAATCCGTTTTATTTATCAGAATGTAATTTCATTCTAACGGTTTTGTATAAAAGGGTAGATACAATTTAAAAATGAGAAAACAAATTCCATGTGTTTAAAATTCAATATGCTGGTATCAGAGAGAATTTTATTATTAAAATGTTGTATAATATTTAACTTTAACTGTGTGATAACCATTTTCTTTAAACTAGTAAAGATTTAAATAGAGAAATTTTATTTGAATTTAGTCTCATAAAAAGGGAAAATAATGATTCATTAGAAGTGATGAAGTTTTGAATGTGTTTTTCTAAACGAAGAAAAATGATGCATCTCTGTACTATAGAAGGTCAGGAGCGATCGAGATAGCTCAGTGATAACGTGCAGCTATGAAGTTGGATGATACGGGATTGAGTCCACCACGGAGCATCGGCTCCGAGATAACAGGTGCAGCATGTTGACGAATGCCAAGTAGCACGATATCTATGTTCAGGGTTTCCTGTAGATTACGTCCAATCATTACAGTACATCAAAAACTAGTGTGGGAGATGTCGAGTCATCTACACTAGTGCTAAGAGGGACTTAGGTATACATGGTTAGTCGGTTGTAAACATTAACACTACTGAACTCTAGGTCTTATAAAATTTGCTACCTTTTCTATAATATATCTTTTTAATTTGTAGGTAAGGAAGATAAAGAAAATTACTGTTGTAACTTGCCAGTTTACAATCACTAAACCGTTTTGATGGTATCAATTCTATGTCTACTGGATTCTGATGTGCATCAATTAGTATCCTAAAACGTCTCATACGTTTTACTCTGACACAAATGTACCATTTTCAATAAGTCTACACAACTAACATCTTTGTCAAGGTATTCAAATTCATTTCAAGATCTTCATACCGCTGGTTTAAAATTCAGCCGTTTGAACTTTCAAAGTTATTTGATCAATTATGTATATATGGAGAATTCATTGATTATGAATACAGTGATCATGAGTGCTATTAGAGGGATGAGGGCGGTTATCACTTCCCGGTTGCCCACACCGTGGAAAGGTTCTTCTAGAGGTACCTGAAAAGGAAATTAGGTTAGGCGTGGTCTTAATGACCCGAGAGCATTACCACAGTGCCCAAGAGACAACTGCTTGAGGTCGGTCGCACACGACCTTTTTGTGAGTAATTTCCATGTTAGCTCCGTACTTGTTGAGACCTTACTGTTGGAGACGGATATCCGTGGGATAAGGTGAGGTGCGCATTTCTAGGGTCGACCTTTTCTAGCCCCACCCCTCCTTGTGGGGAGGCAGCATCGCTGTTATGCTGGTTGTCTGACGGAAACACCTTACTTCCATCACACCTCTGTACAGTCGGCAGTACGACTTTGCCCTCGGACATTGGATTTACTGCTTTTAGTCTTACCACTCTTCAACCGACCTGTCTGGCATGGTAGGACCTTGAGGGATGACTGTTCCAGCCAGTATAGCTCGACTGGTTCATCACGATACTATTCTCATTGTATACTATTGTCTAAATTATTTGTGACATGGGCGGATTTATGAAGTCATGGAATTAAAAATATACGACCTATAATTATAATTATTAGAAAAATCTAAATCGATCCGTTTGAAACCCTGTAAATTCCAAAATAACTGACGTAAATTCATTCGAAAAAAAGAAGATTAAACTAATCATTTTAGAATAGTGAAAATAAAATTGAGTTTTGTTTAAAAAAAGCTTAATTCATTTTGCTTTGCCAAAACTGATAAATACTAATTTGAGAACTATGAGAAGAAATTTATGTAGTAAATTTTGTCGAAGTGAAAAAAACAACTGCCTGCTGTCTCAATATTGAGGAAATTACCGAGAAAATTTCTTTAAAAAACCTGTTATTATCGATACTCGTCAAAATGCTACATAAAAAGTTATATTTTCTTCTTTTCAACCTAATTATGGAAACGATAGACATCTGACAGCCGTTTTTCGCTTGTCATAGACGTTATAACAATTTAATTTATTAGAAAATAAAACATCTAAGAAGTTAGCGATCATAAAAAATGCAATCAATCATACTTTCCAAAAGAAATTTATACTATTTTAAAGATAGTTTCATATCGAGGTGACATGTTAGAGCTGAGAAAAATATCAATAATGGCATATTATAACAAGATTGAACATATGGAACAAAGAATTCCGATTCAAGGGGTAAAAAGGTAGTATGGTTGTAAATAAGCCTTAAGAATCCTTATTTCTATTTTCTCCGTAGGGTTTTGGGTGTAAAATACTTAGAAGTCGAAAACTCGAATCAATGGTTCTCTAGCTGATGTTATTAGATAAAGAAAACTATCCCTGAATTCACTTAATTGAGTTTTAATTACTTATTCGACTCAATCAAGGATTGAGACTAGAATCTTTGGATTTATTTATCAGTATGGTACCATTATAATTAATAATTTTGAGTTTTTTAGTTATCCGTACTTATTTTCATTTTACATTAACGGTACAGTGCATCTATCCCTCAATATCAACGAAGAGTATCTGTTATCGCTTATGGCTTGATTTGTGTAACTAACTTTAATTGGAATCTTATAAATCAGTTTTTAAAGTTAGTTGATAATGAGTTTGGTGTTGTTGTCGGCAACGTAAGTAGATGTTTAAATTAAACTCACCAATTTGAAAATAACCAACCTAATGAAGAATTCTCTGGGGACAACTAGCTCATTTTGCTAAAAGAATACAGTGTAGTTTGAAATAGAAGACCGTAATTGGTGTAGCATATTTGTTTGACAATACTATTACAAATTGCCATTCAATCAATATTAAATCAGTATGTTGTTATAAATCAACTGGTTGGAAAATCAAACATGTCTTTAGTTTGACTGTTTCAAGAATCAAGCAACAGAAATAGTTTAGTAGTTATTATAAGCTATTACATGCGTTTACATATAGGTATACCACCTTCAGAAAGTTGGTAAATGATCTAACTGATTAAAATTAAAAACATTGCTTAAATTTTTCAGTTTTTTCCTCTGAATATATTCCAAGTTGATAAGCAGCGATTACAGGATGTGAATAATCGAATCTAGTTTTTAATTTATACACAAGGTATACAACACTATAGAATAGAAAGCGTTGTGTGAACCGATTTTGTTTTCAATCATAATGAATAATTTATAAAAACCTATCTTCGAAAAATGTGAGTCCACACATTGGTAATGAATAAAACTTACTCGACCACGTTCACTTATAGCTGTCAACATAACGATTAAACAAACTTGTTGTTCCCAGCACATTTGCCAAAAATCACCATAAGTATTTGGTAATGGGCCTTGAGCTGCAATATAACGAAGATTTACTCCACATTTTGGAAATTCCATCTGTAATATAAGATATAACTGAAAATAACTCTAGGGAATTCTTGAAACAATCTCATGTTTTTCGTTTCATGCTTAAAATGATTAGTTCTGATTAAAAATTTACTATCATTTTAATTGATTATTTAGTATGATCAATCTATAACTGTAGAATTATTAATATGTAGAAAAATGTTTAACAAATATGACAGTCATTCTCCTTAGAAATTCATATTATTCAATTAACCATTGAAGGATAAAATCCATATGTTGTTTACGGTCCTGAACTTCTCTAAACCTAGTCTTTTGGTTGTGTATTTGTACGATAGGGTCACGAAAAAGTTCCAATTCAACAAAAATAATCTATTGAAGAATTTTAGAAGTCGGTGAAATACATACCCAGTTGTCTTAAATTTGTGGTGATTATTTTAGTATGAATACTAGTTATAATGTAATAGTGGGCATTAGACGTAACATTTTTGACAACTTTGAAACATGAATTTAATCGGTTATAATTTCTGGTTGAATGTTTTGAATAGAATAAATATTGTCTGGCGAATAAACTTAGGACTACAACTATTATTTCACAAAACCTAGAACCCCAAAAGTCACAGCAAAGTTCAAGGTCGCTCTAGGCTTTATAATTTGTAAGTGATAATTCTATTAAAAGTAATCAATTGACTTTAAATGCTTAAAATTCTTAAATATTATGAAACAGATGAACAATACGTTTATTCGAAGATTCTATTTAGCACAAGTTAACATCAACAAGCATACTTTAAGGATGAATAAGCATTCATTACCTGTGTCATTCTAGTCTACGACAGCCTAATAGTGCACAACCATCGAAGAAAAAGAGGTTTAAATTGTAGCTTTTTTAGTTATACAACCAAGTACAACAAGATGCATTTGGTGGGTTAGAATTCAATGACTTATATTTTCTGACTTCGGTCAATATATCGCACACTACGATGTCCGTCTTATGTTATTAGTAAGTTATTCTTACTCATTGTTAACTTAATCGATCTCAAACATGATTTTAAAGAAAATCTAAATGTTAGTTTACTGCTTCATTCATTCGATCATAGTGATTGAAGTAAATTTGTCTAAGATTTCTCAGTTATTAAAAATACAATAACGCTTAAATAAATTTGGAAGTATAACCAAGACAAAAAGTTTGGGTTTATTTGAGTACTGTAAAAAAAAGATTAAGATGCTTTACACTCGGGAATTTGACCTATACACAAAAGTAAAACTGACGAATTATGTTTCACAACTTTATGTAAACTTCAATTATAGTGGATTTAAATACGATCATGTTTTTCTTTCTAGAAAAATTTAAAAAAATCCAACATTTATCGGTATTTCTTGTTATAGGGACCACACAATTTAGCTTATATGAAACAGATAAACTTGAGGTTGATTGATTTAAAGAATTTTTTGTACTCTTTATACAAGATTGTTGTAACCGGAATCAGTTATCAATTGAACAAGTAATGATAAACAGCTATGTGTGTGAGTAGTTTTTTTCTATGTATAACTCTAAAAATTCTTTAAAGTTAAACTATTGTATTTTTTCAGGATGAGATAGAAACATTTAGATACTACAGTATCCTTTAGTTGATCAAGTGAAATAATGGAGTTTTGAAACAGGAAAACGTAAAAAGATTAATTTAGTAGAAGAATCTTTTTCAACAAGTTCATTCGGAAGTCTGCGTATATATATATATATATATATATATATATACTGCATGTCCTATAGTTTAACTGTAAAGACAAGTATTTTGACAACTATTAAAAATCAGAAACCACCCTGTAGCTATTTCGTTCTAGTATTGAACTCTTTACTGGTGCACATTACCAGGGGTCGAGTGCATGAACTTCAGAATTCATAGTAGAAATTCAACCTTCAAATCAACAAGTTTATGTCCAGGACTTTACACTGCTAATTTTAATCGACAATGATCAATTGCGATTAGTAATATTTGTCATACACCGGATATGATTGAATTCCTTAATTTTGATAGTTGTCTAACAGATACATAAAATTATGAAATCAAATAGCCTATACAACATAATATACTAAAACGACTGCGTTTGTGAGAATGTTGGAAATGTATAATCGTTTGAGTAAGTAGAGTATGTGCCTCATTAACCAAAAATTGAAGAGGAAGACGTGCATTATAAATGATAGCCACAAGTTCTGAATGGTAACATCGTTTATCATGAAAAAAGGCAAGAGAACCAAAGAATGTTTGCTGATGTGAGAGGGAAATATGTTAAGACTAGGATCGTGATAGAGGGAAGGATCAACTACTCAACTTTTCTACCTCAAAATTTCCCATGGGTGTTTAAATATTGACCTTTTGGGATCCTTACTTGGTGTTTGCAAATAATGTCAAAGTATGCGCTTCAAGATTAGTAACCTGAACCAACTACATGTTACGGAATAGTTGACACCATTATGATACATTTCCTCTTGCTAAGCCATCCAAGGTTATGTTTCGAGATGAAATAAAAAAGTGACCACAGCAAAACGAAAAAAACACAAGTAACAACTTGTTTGTATGTTTTACTGAGATAACGATATTTGGATTTTAATGATTAATTTAAATAATACCATAACTATATTGGAGTAAGTTGAAATAAATAATATAAATCACACTTGATATTCAGTGAAATATTGATGACATTATTTACACATCAAGTCACTCTCACTCAAAAATTCCTTATTACCAAACATTTTCATTTACTTTCAATGAATAAATTGATTTAACCGATGTAAATGGAATATAGGTTATCAACGAAGCGATAAAGAGGGGTTTTGTGGATATATTATAGTAATTTAATAGATGAATTCATGAGTATAAATTATAACAACAGTCTACAATTCTCTACAGAAAAGAAGACCAAACTTTAAGTTTTAACATAATTCTTGTTTTAAGCATTAGAAATGAGAAAAAAGTTTATATCATCTAATATGCATCCTGTTGTTCAATATACTAATATAAAATGTATTGTGAGCAAGAGTGACAACTGATTGGCAAAAAACTTCTTATTGAGTTTATAATTATACAGACATGACGAATTAAATTTCTTTAAGTATCAGTATTAACAACAGATTACACGCCTAGGTTAGAGCACTGTGGATTATGTGAACAAGGATAGATCTATTTTTACAGTAGGAGGATTTTCAATAAACCTCATGTTAGTTATAAAAGTATTAATTGATAAAATTTAATGATTATTATTACAACTCGATTATAGTGGAATTTAACTAATAGTTCGTCAAGGTACGTTAATATGTTGTGCAGAGTTCTGACTCAAGCATTAGATTTTGTAGATAAAATTTTATGCGAATCTACGAATAGCAATTTTCCAGTAGCAAACAATCTTTTTGTTGCAACTACAACAATCAGTTTGTGGGGACTAACTTAGATTGAATATAGTCATTCTTGGAAGAGTGACTTGTAATTTGATAATAAGACTTTTATTTTGTATTGGCTAAATAGTTATCTTTTCTAATATCTTATATAAGATTGACAAGTATAAGTGACTTTAGACAGGAGACTAGTAATGTTGTTTGGAATGGATTTCTAAAAGTTAATTCATAAAGTAATCATCTGCAAAAGGTTTTACAAAATCAACGTTCTGTTTGTTAAATAGGAAAATATTCAACTTCTTTATCAAAAATAGTTACTAAAGGTGATAATCGTTACCAAATGACAAAAAATGATGTACTAATGACAATCTAGAGGCACTGGACAATTATTTTGTTCCAGTTTACAAAACCCTAATCATCGTGTAACCATGGTCCTGTTCAAGGAGAAAACTATGGTCTTTAGGTTTACCCATACGCAAAAATATATTTCGTGCACTATCGACTTCACTAAATGTGTAGTAAAATACTCATTCCATATTATCGGTGAGTTATTGTTTTACTTTTGAGTGGATTAACTTGACGGGTCACGTTGTTAGGCTATAGCAATTCAAACATAGACAGTCGCTAGTAAGCATCTAAGTTAAAGAAACTAAGTTTTGTCTTAATTAAAGTGTATCTGAGGCTTATAAAGATATAGATTGTGAAGAAAGCTATAAAAAAAGCTGATCGATCAATTCACTAAGTGAAAATTTTCACTGTTTATAGGAAGGAAAAAATTGTCTTGATTAATTCTGTAACAGCTTATGTAGTTTGTAAATATCCAAAGAAAGTTTGCTGTATAAAGACGTCATAGTAATTCTCATGAATGTTCTTCTGATAAAAAAATAATCTGCTTAGTTCTTGAACTAAAAACCAATTTGGTTAGTTTTTTTTTTGAAATTAAAATTTTTCAATTCATTTAATGATCTTCCATTTTTAATTCTGTTTCATGATGTAAACATCGCAGAGCATATTTAACCAAAAAACGTAGTGGTATTCGAACTGAATTTAACAGACAACTAAAGACACATAAACAAATACAAAAGCGATATTAATTATTTTTAGATTAGATAGTTTGGAATAAAAAGAACATGAAGTAGTTCTGGAAACTGAAAAGAGAATATCAATTACTGATGAAATAAGTATCGTCATAAAAACAATACAGCGATAAGAAAAAGGGACGGGGGTAAACGGATTTTTTAAGTTAGTAATGGACTCTTCAACAGTGCGATCCCACAATCTTGCGTTAAAAATTTCTTACTTTAATAAAAATCATTTGCTTAACAGTGACTAGCTTCCTGAATATACTGGTTATTCCAGTGACAGGTCATAGGTAGTACTATTTAAACCATATTGGAAGTGAGATAGACATTAGTGATAGCGTTAGATATTGGTCATAAGTGCACACAAATAGGAAGTTTTAATGTAGTCTGTAACAACCGTTCGGTGCTGTGCTATTTACAATAGTTATTATATTGAAGTCACTTCATGATTTAAATTATTTTAACCTTGAACAGTCTTTACATTTTCAAAAACGATTAAGTGGCTTGTATTATATTATTAAAGAAAAGCAATTTTCGACAGTGAGCGTACCAAAACAACCAATGGTAATATGACAACTAGATCTATCTTTAAAGTACGAAAAAGGAATCTATGCTTTAGTAAGAATATTACGACGGCTTTATATAATATGATGAGTGAAAAAACTTTCTTATCTTTAAAGCTAAATGAATTATCACAATCATCTGATACAATACAATGGAATCCCGCGTGTGGGGTCGTGATTATGCATTGCTGAGGTGTTCCATACTAGGATGAAACGACCATCCAGTGCTTCCAGGTTTTCAATGGTGGTCTAATATTGATTGGTTCATGATTTCAATATAGTACAATACCGTTTAATAGCTTAATAAAACAATATTTATGTTTACCGTGTTTACTACTGTCAAGTTAAGAATAGCCGCTAGAAAGTTTTAACAGAGATATCTACAATTTTTCAACGTGCGATTGTAAAAAATTGATATTCTTTCATTGACTTACGATACATCTCATCTGTAGGTACTAATCGCTAAAGGATTTGTAGCAAAGGCATAAAGTCTTAATTTTCAAATATTAGATAATGTGAAGAGAAATAAACCATAGATGATAGTAATAATAATAATAATAATAATAATAATAATAATAATTGGCATGTATAATTGAATAAAACTAGAGATAAATTTGGTTCAGTTATAGGTAACAATGATTTGTTTAAACAAGCGAGCTTACATTTACAAAACTAGCATTGATATAATCTCCAGATCCTTGTTTTAATATGACACGAGTTTGATCATCTATTTCAAAATAAATAAACGAATAAAGAAATCAAATAAAATCTACTGACAAACAAAAAGAGGATGATCAAATTTTATTGAATGATTATAGTTTATCATTTGGAGGTTTTTCTTCTAGAAGTTATTATCAATAATTTTCCAGTTGTTTTTTGTTCTTGCTAGGGAGTCTAATTAAATTGTTGATATGTCTACTTGGAAAAAATCTGATAAAATCGTTATTAAATAGGAAAATTGCTACCCAAAACTTTGATCAAAAGAAAACACCCCGACGAGAGAATTTACTAGGTCATTAGCAGATGGTCAGCTAAGAATCCCTTTATGGAATTTTGAAGATTATTGAATCTTCATGCACACCATTAAATGCTAGCTCATCCACATAAAGATTACGTGATCATCGCAAGACCTGAAGGTGCTGGGTTTGATTCCCCATGTGATCATAGGTTCAGAGTGCTTAGGAGTCCCATACTAGGTTGTTTAACCAAAATCGATCAGTGATGCAAGCCACAAAAAATCAATCAAGAAACTTGAACAGTTTGTCATTCATGTTAGAAAATTATTTTATGGTCAGAATATTGAGTTGTAAGAAAGACATTTCTGCTAAATTGATAAATTTGATTTCCTTTGTTAATGTCTTCTCATTCTAATAAATCTAGTGATATTAATTTACTTGTTAATCTTTTATTTTATCAATGGTTATTAGTCCACATCCGCAAACTGATTGACTTTAAACAGTCATGTAATACTGTTTCTTTGATTTAAATGACCAATAAGTATCGACTCGATAAGTGATGATTATCGATTAATTCTATGAAGGTTGAAGACATAAAATTATTCAGAGTATTTACATATTTCAAAAGAATGAAGAATAAAAAAACTGAAGTTATCATTGAACTGAATATTCCCTGGCAAAAGTGTAAATAGCAATGTAATATATCCTTATCGCTGTTTTAGGAATAAAAAAAAACTTGAAGTTGTACACGATGTATTATTCGTGGTATTTGGTGGCGTGATATCTGACTCCAGGTAGATCGTTCGCTGATTGTTATCAAAAGATGCATGCCGAAAATCCTTGTATATAATCATCGACTTAAATCGCGTTGGTGAACGACGGAATTAAATAGGTCAAATACGAGAATGAACTTTTTGAATACGTACATTTCGTACAATCGTTGCTCGGTACAGACATTTAGAGAAACGCAGAGAAGGAAACAAAAAGGAGAGAGAGAGGCGAAACGAAAGGATGCGCAGTGGAGAAGGCGGGTAAGCTAACTCGATTTATTCAAGTAATATCTACAGTCATACGAAAATAAGTTACAGACATGTGATGATTACAGAACTCATACACACGAATTTGTAGATTTAATCTTTATTTAAAAGACAGAACAACGATCCAACTGAAGGCCTTTTCTCTCTTTTATATTTTTAAATAAAATGAAAATGCTGCTGTATATAACTAGTAATTGTTTTACACTCTCCTTTCAGAAGCCAAGCTGGATAGTGTTCTGAGATGTGTTTGAACAATGAAATGAAGATGTTCTGAGTACTGTATATCAATAAATGTTACAGAAAATAAACATACTCTAAAACCAAACAGCGTCTTCAGTTTAAACTGGATATTCTGTCACAACTTAAGGTTTGTGTTTTTCCATTGCTGTTATTTAAGAGCTGTAGCTGGTCAACCTCCGTTTGGGCAAGTGTATCCTAAGTGGAGTGTATCGATGTTATCTTTTAGTTAAAAGATGTTTGTGCATTGTGGCTAGTAATGAGAAAATCTTGGCAAATAACTACATACTTGTTGAATAATTTAGTGACTTTTTCATCCAGTAGTTCTGAGGATAACTCGTTGTTTGGAGAGATAAGTATTTGGTTGAAGTCATGGCGTTCACATGAATACTCGAATGTAAATTCGTCTGACTAATGGGTACCATATAAAACGAAACGAGCATACAGAATACTACTTTTATCCATTGTTCAAACGTTAAGTGACGAGTTTTAAAATTAACTTTTAGTGTCAAATTTGTAGATTAAATCCAGATCACAGATTGTTAGTTGAAGATGATCAAAAAAAGGTTGAATATTTAACTACTTCACAAGGAGCCTAAACGTTTCAGAGATAACAGTAAAGTTGCAGAATGTATTACTCAACTTAATAAGGTTCGGTTTCATTTAAATCTCGCCACTACGGTTATATAAACCTTGAATGCATCGGGTTAATAATAATTCCATACAGTGAGGTATCTGATATAGATTTGGTGTATTTTATTATCGGCAATTTAGAATTATATGAACCAACCATAACATATACGCTGTTACATGATATATATATATATATATATATATATATATATATATATATAGATCAAGCTCCTCATTGTAGTCGATAGAAACAGACAGTAATAGTAAATAATTAAAATTTCAATAGGATGCAAGTGTATGAAGTAACACGGACATTCAAAGATGCATAGTTATCTGATGAAACGCACTTTAGAAATACAAACATATTTCCGTTTTTTTGTTATTAACATTTAAATTTATGTAATAATCTACTGAGTAAAAATAAGGTTAGTTAAATAATTTGATGTTAAATCCTAAAGGTACTCATTTAGCTAAAGTGATAGTTGTTTACTACAATTCGCCTGTCAATTCTAAGTGCTTTAGTCATGGTTTTGATAATTCTAATCTAAGGAATGAGATAGAATAAAAGATAATCAAATATCCTTAAGGCTAAATAGAACCTGAGGTTAATATTGATTAGTTAATCATAGATTTCTTGAACATTTTACTTCTTAGTCTATTTAAAGTAATGATATTTGATGACTGAAAAATTGTAGCTTTTAAAAATCAGATTATTATTTTAATAAGTCACAGTACTTACAATAAAGAGATAACTTCACCTATTCATATATAAGTTAAACAAATAGATTTAGTCTAATGTGACAATTTTAGTACGTTACAGTTGGTTGCCAAGAGAAATCTGTTTAGTCCTAGCAAATTCAAGTCAAGTCTGTTTATTCAACCATAATAGAATTTTATCATAAAACTTTATAGATGTTAGAAAAAATACTGTTAATATTGATTATTATACCGAGAGTTTATGGTTATTATGTTACAAAACTTATATATAGTCGTTTTCAATGATTTAGTATATGATACAATATTGGGTATGGCATAGACTTGTAGGGAATATTTTCTATTGTAAAGCATAGAAAAGTTAGTGAGAATTAGTTAGTCGTTTAAGCCATGAAGATTGTCATTATGTAATCTTGTGAACTATTTGAATAAATATATTGTAAGTGACCATTGGAACTCAGCAAATAATTTGTGAAAGGATTTATTTTGATTGTATGATGAAAAGTAATCAGTCAACGCAACCGGATCAATTAAATCTGACTGATTGACAAGGAAAGCATATTAAAGATTTAGAAAGCTCTGTTGGTATCCATTAAATGATGTTATTTATAACATTGGAAAAGAATATGTTTATTTTGTCAAAATCAAGTTATTTTATACAGAAGTAAGCCCTGTTTTGCAACTAACTGACAGGTTAGATCATTTGATAGTACCAGCTATATCAGCTCTATACTTTTTATTAATAATCTTTTGATTAGCATTAAGTAGGGATGTTTATTCAGCAGAATGGTCGAATTTACTGAAACACATCAGAAAAGACACTCTTATTGATTCTTGAACGAACGAAAAGTAGTTCCATTAGTGATCTTGGGGTGTATGTAAAATAAATTATTAGAACTAAGGACGTAACGCTTGCATTTATGGGTACAGAAAGTAAATAAATGAAGATAAAGAAACCTCTTTAAAAAATATATTTACATAATTTCATTTTTCCGGATAAAATTACTATTTTTTCCCCTTTGTATTCTTGTCAAGTACTTTCATTTTACGTAAATAAGTAAATAATAATAAAAACAATCATATTCTTACATGGTGAAATATCACGATAACGATTTTTTATTGAATTCTCGCTTAAACGAGACACATTCATTGTGAGACCAGATTTTCTTCTAGGCAGATGCTAGATATTTTAAAGATAAACAATTATTGTAAATTTTCTAATACCATGGTAGAATAAAAGAACACATAAGAAGTGTATATTTAATTGTTCAAATATAGAAATATCTAAATCTAAGGAGGATCAAGAAATTGTTTTGTATAAAAGACTATGAGGAATTGTTTAGTTTTATCAGATGAGATGATGGTTGGAAGTAGTCGGCAGGAAACCTTGGACCTAGGTTTCATGCTGTTTAGCACTTGTCTGCAAGGTGTACCTGCAATCTTGATGGAACTAATACTCCCTGACCAATTCGATCCCGTGTCACTGAGCTTCACGGTCAGAAACGTTATCACAGAGTTGTTCGGGCCGCAACTGACTTTCTATTGTTTTATCATTATATAGTAAAATGAATCAACAAAACTTGTTGTCTTTCTGAAGTCGTTAAAATAAAATGTAATAATATTATCGTTATTATTACAATTATGATCATAATTGAGACAAGATACAAAGTAAATTAAATCTGGATACTCATTTTTTGTCTTGTAGAATGTTCAATTGCGTTCAATTTTCAGATCTGACACAATAATATCCGTTCAAATGACAACTGTAAGAGTAACTACTAAGATAAATTAACTGATTTAAATAAATGATAAACTATCACTATATTAAAGAATTACTTCTAAAGTAATAATTACACCTAAAATAATATACAATCAACAAATATCCGTAGACTTACTTCGAATTGATTTAACAATGATCCATCAGCTAAATGACTTTCTAATTCTATCATTGAATCTAATAATGTGGAACCAGAAAAAGAATATCTATGTACGGTACTATTGTTATGATCTCGATCCATTGCATTATTAGATGATGATGATTTAAGTGAAAAACGTGTTAAACGTTTTGAATTTCTTGCAAATTTCTCTAAAGAAAGTGTTGGTCGACGGATAGATGAGTTATAAGATCTAGGTGGAACTGGAGGAGCATCTCCAGAATCTGGGATAGGATTGTCATCATTTACATCATCTGTAACATAATCTGTATGGGTAAAAATTAACACAAACTGATATTACGTAGTCAAATATATGTACATATATGATATGAAATAAAGTATAGCGTTTATTTTTTCATTATGGGAAGTTACAACAAGGTGAATTATTTTACTTATTATTTAGAATGTTTCACTGTTTGCTTATCACTTCAGCAGCCCCCAAATGCCTTGGTTCGGCCGAGAGTGGGGAGAGTCCACTCTCCCTCTCAAAATGCTCTCACACGGTCACGTGTATACAGCATCTGCCAGAGAAGTCCTACTCACTGACTTCTCGTGGCGGGGGTGTTGTTTACGAAAATGAGAGGACGAAAAGCGAATGTTCGGCGCTTTATCCGCGTTGGTGGACACGGAGAGTCGGAAAACCCTGATTCCAAACCAATGGTGCGCATGGGTTCTAGTATCCTGAACGAACAAATGGCGTATGAACCAATTGTTGGTCACAGGCTACCGTGGGAATGCATGTCCTTACGTTGCTCCACTGCCTTGTGGATCAGACCTTCAGGTCGAAGGCTCCGGGTGTGGCCCCCTAAGAAAACCACCTTCTTCGGTTTGGGCATCTGGGCAGTATCACAGTCCTCCCACATATCAAATGAGATCTGTGTGACGCATATGTATTTGGTGCCTCCTTGTACCAATATCTTTGTGTTAAAATAAGTAAATAAAATAAATATCACTTCGGAATGTATTTATTCTTTAGTTAATGTGTTTACATATATAAATTGTTAGATGAACTGAATAGTGCACACTTGTCGATTGCAGAACATATCTTATTGTTTAAGTAAGTAAATACGTGCATTTATCAATAAAATAAGAAATTTTTGTGTCATTCCGTTATTGTAAGAAAATGAAAAAAGATTATATCAGTAAGTTAAAGTCGGAATAAAGTTAAACCAAAAATCGAATGAAAAACCACAGCCGACGCAGATAGATGTAAGATATTGAAATGAGTGATTTTGAAAGAAATATCTATGTCAATTTATTGCTTCATCTAATTTATTCTATTCAAATTAAATTTATAAAAGACAGTCAGGTAATACATTAAAAGAATATGAGCAAATTCATGTGCGTGTTCGCGTCGACGATATGTCACAATAAGTTTCAAAGTAGCAGAATATAGCTAACAAAGATTCTCAGTTTCCAATGGTTCACCAACTAATGAATGAAAACCATTTTCATAAACGTAATACTTATTTCATATTAGAAAAAAAGTATATTTCATTGTAACATTACTTCAAAATGTACAATATCCATTGTAATTTTGGGATGCACATAATGATTAACACGTTCAAAGTTATATTTATCGTAATGTTAATATCTCAAGTTGTGATTTTCATCTATAAATCTTTGTATTGTCCTATTTTAATTTGCATATTATAAACAAATAAAATTTGTAAGATTCTTCACTGATGAACTAAATACTAGACAGTTCTTTAAATGGATTTACTTGTAAAATTCATTTGAAAATTTTAAGTGAAATGTTTATGTGTTTAACTTGTATGTAAATCATTTTAATAATTATGTTATCTTTGAAAGATTTTGTTCACATGTTATTTATCAATATTCATAATAATACTATTATCATTTATGGTTTCATGAGAACATGAATTCGAATTCCCCAGCTTCTTCATGTGTACGTGTTTATATGTTTTGTTTATTGAGAGGAATAAAGGGGAAAAAGTTACATCTTTATGTCCTTTTTTATTCAAAACCACTGCTCAACTACTTAATATTTGTTATCATAATTATGTTAAGAAGGATAACAAAAAAAAATTAGACAAAGAAGGAAGTGTGAAAGAAACAATGTTAAAACACAGCGAAAAAATTATTTTATGGTTTGTTAAACAAGGTACACAATTTAAATTGTGAAAACAGAGCTAACAGTGAAAGTTGAAAAAAAAACGTTCGTGTGTTACAAGAGAATTTAAACAAAGCGGTTTAACCATTTCCGGTTACTGATAAAATACAATTCATTTATGTCGACATTATAAAATAATAATAATGGTTAATAGTTTGATAACCAAAGCTATTTTAGTTATATTATTTAAAGTTACTTATTGACCTGTTTTGAACACGAAAACTTAAATGAATATACATTGTTGTGAGAAGACAATGTATTTAAGTGCATACTAGATATGGTAGAATAAAAAAAATCAATAGACTGTAATTAGATTGAAATCATGAACCTACTTCAGTTGGCCCATTATTGAAAACCTGGAAACATTAGACACCCGTTTCGTTTAAGTATGGGATTCTTCAGTAGTGCGCACGCGGGACTTGCACTCAATATCTTTGGTCTCGCACGCAAACGGTTAACCATTAGAACATAAAACCAAAATACACACTAGGACGAAATGGCCGTCTGGTGCTTCCAGATTTTCAGTGGTGGTCTAACTTATATCGCTTTATGATTTCAATGAAATTCAACAATCTCCACAATTCCATAATGAGAAATGTTGTAACGAGTTTAGCTTCGTCATTCGGCTATTTAACTCTTTTTAAGTGGAACTTCCAAGATATTATGTGAGACAAAGATGGTTGAAAAATATTTGTCTGTCATTTATGCCTCAGTTGGATTTATAAGCAAAGTATATATATATATATGGTACAACAACAAAATGCAAAAGCACACTTACCACTTGGTTTAACTAAAAGCTCAAGTGTACCATAATTTTGTTCACTTGCAGCACGTATCATATTTACAACCTAAAATTCCAATTTATTAAAACAAAACAAAGACAATAGTTATAATTTAAATTTTAATGTGAATTTGAACAATAAACTCATCGATGCAAAAAGAAAACAAAGTTTCTAATGTGATATTTATTGGTAAAAATTTGTTTTCTTTAATTATCTCAATTGACTATTTATAATAGGAAGTGAAAATCTCGAAATCTGGATTAGATAAGCAAGAAGATTGTAAACATTTCTCATTACACAATCAAATAAATGCAGATAATACAGAAGAACGATGAGACAAAGAGGCACTGTTTGGTTTCTTAATTATTGTCATAATAATGACAAACCGTTAAAACACTCGGTTGATTTAGATCACTGTATTTAAATATATTCAAGAAGTGTTTTGTAACAACATCTGACATCATTAAGTTTAAAGTGGGAAAGCAGGAAAAACTTTCCCCAAATGTGATGATTTACATTACTAACAAACTTTAGGAGGATAACCATTAAAAAACAAGAACCATTGTGGGGTTGATTAGTTTTTCTGAGGGACTCTATAGCAGTGTATACCCAAAACCTCTCGAAGGGTCAATATTGATCAGATAATATTACGAAACTATTGATATTTAAAATATGAATCATTGGATGTTAGCTTAATGTAGCAATGGTAACGTGTTCGTTTTGAGAACTTAGTGACCTAAGCTTATTTCTTATTACTTTTATACGAATGCACTGATGAAGGATCCTAAACACAGCTGTTTGTTCAATGGTTGTCTAAATGAAGTCAGTCTGCTTTCTTCACACTGGACAATCATCCCAAACCTTCAATCCTAATTTCTTCAAATAACTTGATTACTACCATTATCATCTATAGACAGTCAGTTATGTTTTCCAAATAAAATAGTCTCGAGGAACTTTAGCGTTCTCCAATTATTCTATTTTGCTGTTCATCTGACGAGATAATTCGTGCATCAAAAGTGAATATTTAAAGTATTGTTATTAAATGAGTTTAATAATTTCTCCTGAAAAATACAAAAGAGCCAAAAAATGTTAGAAGAGTAAAAAGTGTCTGGATAGTACGTAAGAAGTCAATGTTTTAAACATTAGGTGCATTAACCGACAGTCACAACTCAATACTAAATGCATATTAAAGAGTATGCTATTTCATGTTATCCAATCATTAGCATTACTGGTATTGATTGGTTAATCCGATTTATGATTTAGTCTGTGGGTTTGGAAAATTTAAACCACAAAAAACAAACAGAACGTTGAATAGTTAAAAGCAATTAGCAAAAATTGGTTTAACGCGTCTGATGAATTTATAAACTTGATATTGACTGCATAATGAGGAGCCACAATCATGGACGTTATGTTGATCTGTTTTTTGATCAGACTGATTTTTATGCAGGAACTAATTCAATTAAGAACTAATGGTATGTTGCCTGGTTCTCAGCACCAATATAATTTGTTTTACAACAATGTATTGTATTTGTTTCTATGCCCTTCCAGAGACTCCTTATTGTATATTCTTATGAGCTACGACCATATTATTGATCGCTGCATGGCAATACGAAGCCAAAGATTTTGCTTCAGTAGAACGCTTCTTTATATATTAAATGATTAAATTTCACAGTAATCACTATTAATCTAGGGAAGTGATAACATGTCGTATCAATCAAAGTAGACAACACATCCAGACGAACTCCTTATTTTTGAATAAAAAAGAACTTATAATGTTACCTGTAAATGGGTCTGGTTTGAAACATCTTTATGATTGATGAATAAGATTTGATCACCCTCTGAAAGTCTAGGAATGCATAGGTCAGCAGGCATATTAGCACCGACACGGCTAACTATAATCGGCATTCCATGATCAATCCCACCTTTAACGTTGAATCCAAATCGTCCATGACTGTCAGGTCTGATGGAAATACGGACTAGTCCTTCGGAATTTAATTCATTAGTTTCATCAGGTAGGTGAAGTGAATTTTCAACGTCTGGGGCACCTGGATGAAATGGATCTCTATTTAAACCTTTATTACGCGTGTGTTGGGAGTTATCGATTTCAACACCATTATTATTTGTTGCATCTGAATGCTTATTGAGAAGAAGAATAGATTACTTGAAATGATCATTATGAAACAAAATTAGTCGATAATAATTAAAAGAGATGCGAGAATTATGAATGAATATTTTATTTAGTAATCTCACCTAAACACATTAAGGATTATAAATGGTTTTTATGTCTTAAACAACGCGCACAAAGCTAAGTGATAGACTAACACAAAACGTTAACTTGAATTGTATCATTTCAATCAATTGGAATTCTTAAGGGAAGATCAATAAATACCGGACGGTGTTGAAGCAAAGTTGATTTTTAGCTGTGGTCAATCCTTAGTATGATACTAATTTTCTGTCATCTAAATAAATTATGATAAATATAGAATAGTTGATTGCATTCGGAAATTCCAATTTTTCATTGTAAGATTCCAGTTAAACGGTCTCTGGCTCGTATATCCGTAAATTTTAAGTTCAGCCGTTTGGAATATATCCATACGAACATTTGAACTCTAATAATAATAATAATAATAATAATAATAATAATAATAATAATATTATTATTATTATTATTATTATTATTATTATTATTATTATTATTATTACCATTAATATTGTTACTGTTAGGTTTAGGTTCCTCCCAGTACTCAGTGATTAAATATTTTTGATTGTAATAAAAAACAGAAAAATAAATTAAGTGATCATAATCGTAATAAAAATCCTTTAGTTTTTATCCGAGGCAACATTTTTTTAAGCTACTGTTTTCTTATATCTAAAATCCATTTTTAAAAATAAATGGATCGATAAACACATGTACACGTAACTCATTGTTCATTCATTCATGAATACATCGACAAATATAATTACAACCAGATAGCTTACATTCATCATCTTCTAATAGTATAGGATTTACATGATAGGGATAAAAGTATCAAATTCGTAAGAAATGGGTCCACACAAGATTAAAGATAATATGTGTAGTAATAATAATTGCTATTATTAATACAAAACATAATTAATGGGATAAAATTATGGAGTAAATAAGAAAATTAGGCAAAATTTATGTTTAAACGACACTTTGAGATGGGAAAAGAAGCAATGATTGAAGACTTTGAGTGATCATCTATGCATACTAACATCATACAATTGACGATACATCGATAAACGTTTAGATAGATAGATGGATAAATATGATCAACTTAAGGTCTGATGCGGGCATGTATTAGTTCAAATTTTCATGTTTTACATCTACATACAGAGAGAGTGAATAAGGTAGTTTCTAGGGTGAAAAGTACATGAGTTGGGATAATAGTACTCGTGATAATGAAATGTTAAATGTACAAGATATTACAGAAAAAGGAAAAAAATGAAATTGGAAGGTAAAACGTATAGAATAATATCAAACTATCTAAGTGAAAATTAGTGATGAATAGATTAATGTCACTGCAGCTGGTTTTGAATCATGAGTTGAGTGACATGATTGAGATAGCATTTACAGCAGTTTCAATGATCAAATAGACAGAAAGAAGCAATCATGAGCCCTGACATTAAAATATTTATCACTCAGAGTTCATTTAAGTACGATTATTAGGAATCATAGGGTGTAAAAGCAGAAACTAACGATATCAATAGTAGTAGACAAATAAGTGCTAAGAATCAAGAAAGAGGTATAAATAAGGGGTGAAGGATAGAAGGCAATATGATTTTTGGTGTCTAAGCTAAAAGTGAACACTAGATTCAGTTGGAATGTTAAAAATTGAGTAACAATTTCAACCGTCACTAACAATTGTCACACATACGAATAAAAAAGTTTGTATTTTACTGCATAAACCAGGTAAACACTTTTAATACAAAAAAACAGGTTGATGGACTCGATTCTGTAAACTAACAATAACTCACTAAGATGCTTCATATACTTTAAAGCAAGTATGTAATAAATTTATGCCCAATGTATCTAAACCAATGTGCTCTAATTCAGTACTTATATCTGGTGAAACTTGAATATCAACAGTTATCCACCTCAGAGAATAGATGAAGGGTTGCACAAAATCATGGATCGATTGACGTTAGACATTAACACCGTTGAACACTGGCTCAGTGATCTAAATGTCAAGTGCTCGCACGCGAGTTCGAAGGTTCTGGATTCAAGTCCTGAGTGCAGACTCGTGGATGCGCACTGCTAAGTACTTCAATAATAGGACAAAATGATCGTTTAAAGATTCCAATGGTGATTTACCTTACACTGAATCGTGAACTTAACTGTGAAGATATACGATTACATATTAATTTTCAGTTAACTAATGCGATGGTGAGTTCAATTTAATTGCTATCAACCAGTATGTATGATATAATTTTGATCATAATCAGAAGCCACAAAATGATTATTGGTTAGTAATAATGCACATACACGTATACAGGTATCACAATTGAAACACAATTCATAACAAATAACGTTTACAACTGAGGTTGTCCGCAATATTTCAAATGTTATTTTATGAAACCAGTAATTTCGAGCATTTTCCAATTCATTCGATGAATGAGAGCTATAGGTTACAGAGTGATTGTCATTGGCCATTTTTTTCTTAAGCTCTACATTTTACCAGATCTGTATTAGTTAGATATCATGTTATGCATCACTAGACTGACCATTTCATAGCAGACTATTGTGGATAGCTTTAAACGCTTAAAATGAAAGGTTTAAATGAAAATCATACTTTAATATTCAGAATAATAAATTGACTGAAAGTGTTTGTGACACATTTTTGTGACATAAATTTTTAAACGCTAAAACACTGAAAATAACCTAAGTTACTCCAAAATTACAAATCATACTCAACGTATAAATATAATCTGTCAATTAGTGAATAAAAATTTGTTTTTCAGAACATAGTTACTTTTAACAAGTTTTATTATTGATAACTTCGTTGATAAGGTTGTAAATTTATTTATCAAGAAGTTTCCATACATCGTATGTAAACAAGATTCACTTATACTTAGTTAAGCATGTATATTAAATACATGTTACTTTCAACAGTAAAATCAATTCAAGCAAACAAACAAACAAACAGGATATAGTTAGTTATTATTAATGTTAAATACATAAACAATTTTAAATATAAGAAGTACGCATTGACTATTGTGATGTTATTATCTCGTTTTATTCCATGTAAAACAACATACTAGTTTTAAGACTTTAGAAATTTGAGCAAAATTAAATTCTTATTTCTTCCTGAAAGAAAAACGATTTCGTTTTTACTAAGTATATGAATAGAAAAACGGCTGTAGTAAATAAACCACAGGAAATGATGAGATTATATTTGTTGCCAAATAGAACTAATGATTTTTCTTGGAAAAAAAAATAAATAAAAATATAAAAACTGTCAGAAAGAAATAGGAAATTGTTTCATTTGTGTATCTTTACCATTGATAAAATCACTAAACGAATTAAGAAAAAAATAACTACTACCAGGTTAAAATTAAAAAGATATGGGTAAACATGGTAAAGAAGCGGGTTTTTTCTGGCTGGCTATTGTTTGAATTTATTGTTGTAAGGCAATTACTCACTGAAGACAATGGTGGACGGTCGCACAATATCGTGGATTGGTTGGAGTTAGATATTAACACCGTTAGATGCCAGCTCACTGGTCTAAACGTTAAGTGTTTGCGCGCGAGAACGAAGGTTCCGGGTTCAAGTCCCTTGTGAGGGATCGTGGATGAGCATTGCTGAGTCCAATAGTAGGACGAAACGGCTGTTCAGTGTATCCAGGTTTTCAATGGGGGTTTAACATTGATCCATTCATGATTTCAATCTGAACTTAATAGTCTCCACAATTCTGTACTGAGTTTATTCATTGATTCCTCTTAATGTGTGCATGTATGTAAACTAGGATTTCATAGGTCAAAACGAACAAGAGTACAGATACCTAGTCAAACGCGATAGTATTGTATTATGCAATAGCTTTCCGTTATGTAAAATATGATTATTTGAAAAGTGAAAAAAATCATAAATCAAATCTAACTACAATATAAATGGTTTGTTGACAGTCAGGATAAAACAATGAATTTAAGTTTTGCACATGTTGAAATAGACTGCAGATACGCTTCGTCTCTGCTTTCGGTCATCTAACATAAAGTAGTGTAGCTAGATGTCAAGTTATTTGGATTAGTCGGAGCATCGTTACTTAATCAACAGAATCTAATGATCTTTTGGAACAGGAAAACAAGAATTCGACTATTACTAAATGATCAATAATCGTGTATCTTATATAATGAAATTTTTGTGCCAAGAACAGGGAAGATGAAACAAGGAACTTGAGTGAACTATGTTAAGACTTCCATATTTATGGAGCCAGATCATTTAATCCCATGAAAATGTATGATTTGAAAATGATTTTGACAAACATGTTGAAACTGAAAGTTAACATCATGATCAAATACTGATAATCTGTGAATATCACACTTTAGAAGATCATGGTTCACACTCATAAGGTAAAGCAAAAAAAAACAAGTTTTTGATGCTTGATGAGAATCAATTTTAAAGCAGTATCGAAGCTGTACTTAAGAATGGACTTTCGAATTGTTAGATAACTGATGAATTAGATTTAATTTGTCGTCTAAATCAGTTGACGTGAGTGAGACCTTAATTTATTGGAAACCTTTGGGCAACACTAAAATGACCTTGAAATGTCTACCTACTTACTAGGGTTAAATCAGGGTTATAGCTTAGTGTGAGGAATTAAGATTAGAAGTTAGATTTAATGTTGTCATCACGAACCGACATAACCAATAATGCCAAAATAATATTTAACCATATGAGTGAATGAATTTCGCACCAAAATTCAAGACCTGCTATCTTAAATATGATTGGTTCATCCTTAAATTATAGTTTTGCCATTAAGTGTACTTATGTACATTTAGTATGAATGTCTTTTGATAGAATAACTATAGATGATATAGTAAATAAAGGGGTAATGGCTTAGAATGTCCAGAATAATATTCGGTGAACGGATATAATCTATTAGAACTATTAACAATGATTG